AAGTATATGATGACATATGTTTTATTGTTTTTATAGACATTTTGCCGTTTCCCCACAAGACTCTATAAAGTTGTGGCTTTTAAAAAATAGTAGACTAATGCTTGTTGTTGTGGTTGTTGTTAAGTACCGTGGAGTCGGTTCCAACTCATAGCGACCCTGCACAGGATTTCCGACGCTATAAATCTTTACAGGAGCAGAATGCCTCATCTTTCTCCCGAGGAACGGCTGGTAGTTTCGAACTGCTGACCTTGAGGTTGGCAGCCCGACTCGTAACCACTACGCTACCAGAACTGTGATAAATGGTTTTCAAAAAATAATAGACTAAATCATGGCAATGAAACGATATACCATAGCATGAATGTAAACCTAATGTTTTCCCATGTAAACTCTCACATAATTCACAATAAAAACTTGTTTTAACAACAACAGCAATGGCAAAAAAAAAAAAAAGTTACTTTAATTATCTATCCACATTTTATATTTTTGATTTTAAAAAATAATAGTTATGACCAATTAATTTTATCAGAGCAAATAAGCCCACCAAGATGAGTCAGAAGCAGCAGTGGGCCCTGCAAAAATAAAAAAATAGTAGACCAGCGCTCATCTATGATAACGTTTCCATTTTCCACAGAAAAGCAAGGTAATATGATAGTTTAAGAAGAAATAGTATAATAACTGTTGTTTCATGGATGATATTTCAATCATTGAGATGAAACATTATAAGATTTGTTGGATATAAAACTGATGATCTTCTTTGTAAATCTCAATTCAAATAAAAAGTTAAAAAAAAATTCTACAAATCATAGAGTCCCTTATTAAACAAAAATAATCGAAATGATTGTTTCTTGACATATCCTCCATGTAGGTCTTCTGAAGGTGGTGTTTACATCTCTCTAAAGCTCTGGATTAGACATTGTTTCATTCTGCTGAGCATAAGGTCGCTATGAGCCTGTGCCGACTCGATGGCACCTAACAACAACAACAACAAAGCTCTGGTAGCGTAGTGGTTATGAGTCGGGCTGCTCTCCTCAAGGTCAGAAGTTTGAAACTACCAGCTGTTCTGTAGCAAGAAGATGAGGCTTTCTGCTCCCATAAAGATTTACAGCCTTGGAAACTCTACACAGGGTCACTATGAGTCAACTGACTCCACGGCACACCACCAATCTACCAACAAAGCTGGCCAGAGATTCTCTTTGCCTTTTCCCAAGTCGAAACTTCAACTGAGTTTATCATTTCAAAAAAAAATGAAGAACCATGTTCCACTAACACTAAAGAATCAAACCAAACTGATTGCCATCAAGTCCGTCCTGACTCCTAGTGGCCCTGTATAGAGTTTTAGAGATGGTAAGTCTTCACAGAAGCAGAAAGTTTCATCTTTCTCCCTCAGAACCACTGGTGACTTTCAACTACCTTGTGGTTAGCAGCCCAGTACTTATCCCACAGCACCATCAGGGCTGGAGGAAATTAGTCCCAAGACAGAGATTATTTACCCCAAAGCCTGGCAGGAGCTGGTCTAGAGATTGTACACTTCAAGCTTTTTAATGCCAGACTTCACTGTTCCAAGAAAAAGCTAGTCCTAAAAGAAAAAGGACCTGGTGTGATGCTATTGAATACACACTAGACTGCTGGCCACAGGTCAACAGTTTAAGGTCACTCGCTAGTCCTCAGGGTCACTATGAGTCAGAACCAACTCCAGGGCACTGAAACAACAACAGCAAGAGAGATGGACCCACCTCACTACCACTGAGTCTGTTCTGACAGAGTAGGACTCCCTGATGACTGGGATACTGAGGCTGTAAATCTACAGCATCAGACAGACTCCTCTCTCTCCGGTTGTGGGGCTGCTGGGCTCGAATCTGCCAGCCTTTCAGTTAGCAACTCAACACTTAACCACTGTACCAATAAGATGATCTCATTGGAAGCAAAAAGCAGACAAGAAAGTCTAAGTAGTTTGCAGATTATTTTTCATCCATTGAAAAACTCTATAGTTATTAAATACAGTGCAAGGTCCTGAAATTTGACCAATCTAGATTAAGACTTATCACCTGTAGAAGTCTCTGCCCCTTGGCTTGTGGGGTATCCCCCTTGTTTGGTTGATGATGCATAGAGGGGATTGTAACCATGGCAATGAAACAAAATATGATAGGATGAATGTAAAGCTAATGTTCTCCCATGTTAACTATCACATAATTCACAATAAAACATTTTTTAAAAAGTCTCTGCCCTTTTTCAGCCAAACAATAGACAGGTCTATACTGTGTGACACTGTGGGATAATGCACTGGACCCTGGACCACAAGGTCAATGTGAACTGCAAGGTCAGTGGTTCAAATTCACCAACCCCTTCTTGGAAACCCTATATAGGGTCACTATGAATCAGAACCAACTCATGGCACTTAACAACCACAGCAACAATAAGGGGAACTATAACACTAGTGAGGTGTGCAGTCTTTAGCATAGTCAATCATTTGGGATCAAAAAGGCAGCATTTTTCCAAGGACAAAGTTCAGAAGGTCAAAAGACAGGAAAGAAGGGTGACCGGAAACAGGAAACACAGGAGGAAGTCGGATGAGTAATGTTACATTGTGAGGACTGCAATCAATGTTGTGAAACAGAATGAGTATCACTTGTTGAACGGAAGGCTGATTGTTCTGTAAACCTCCCCACAATTCTCAATTAAAAGTCAAAAAAATAAAATAAATTTGCCTTCTCCCCTTGAGTGATACTTATTCCTCAAGTCCAAGGCGAAAGAAAAAAGGGAGCTAAGGGTAGGACTCTCTAGAAGTCAACTTGAACCAGTAAGAATTGGTGGCATTGTTTACAGACTATGTCCTTTGTTTCTGACCTGTTATTGTTTTGTTTTCCATCCTCCTCTCCTCCCAACACACACAAAGGTGATTTTAAAAGATGTGGACTCACTTCTCTACGTGGACACTGACGTCCTCTTTCTGAGACCGGTCGATGACATCTGGAAACTTCTCAGGCACTTTAATTCCACCCAACTTGCAGCCATGGCTCCCGAGCATGAAATCCCCAAGATTGGCTGGTACAGTCGCTTTGCTCGACACCCTTTCTATGGTGCTGCGGGACTCAACTCAGGAGTCATGTTAATGAACTTAACACGCATAAGAAGTACCCAGTTCAAGGTAAGGAAATACCTAAAGCTTCCCTGTTAATAACCCTGCACTATGTCTTTTCAGCAGTGACAGTGATAGAGAGTGTCACTGTGCCGGTTTTGGAACTGTGTGGCCTGTAAGAGAGGATGGGAGGGCCGAAGAGAGAGAAAAGTACTTAGACAATGATAGAACATTTCATTGCTCAGAAAAAACCCGGGTTGCTATGATTTTCACAATTCTGCTGAATTACCGTTCAGGAGTATCAGGTTGCATTTCTGAATCACTTAATGTTTGAACTGTGTGTTTATCCAAGGCTTCAGAAAGTGGAGAAAATTTTTAGGAATTACCCTAGAGATGTAACTATATAAGTACACAGAGATATTTCTGTAAAGGTGTTCATTGCCTCATATTTTATCCGAGCAGAGAACTGGAAAGAACCTAAGTAACTCTCAGTGGAGAATGAGCCAAAAACATATTATTCTTTATTAAAAAGAATTAAGCAAATCTACTCAATGCATATAATTGGACTGTGGCTGGTTACCAGAATGTTGGTGGTTCAAGCACCCACTCAGCAGCACCACAGAAGAAAGGCCTGGAAGTCTAGTTCTGTAAAGAGTTCTGCAAAGAAAACCCAATGTAGCAGTTCTGCTGTGCAACACATGGGTCACCAGG